ATACGAGGATAGTCCTTATTTTTGAATGTGGTCCTACATGTATACTAGGATAGTCCACATTTTTGAATGTGGTTCTACATGTATACTAGGATAGTCCACATTTTTGAATGTGGTTCTACATGTATACTAGGATAGTCCACATTTTTGAATGTGGTTCTACATGTATACTAGGATAGTCCACATTTTTGAATGTGGTTCTACATGTATACTAGGATAGTCCACATTTTTGAATGTGGTTCTACAATGAATGTGGTCAAAAAGAACATAACAGACTTCTTCAGATGCTATGAAATTCCATTTGCATTATTATGCTGAGTTTTGGGAGTTCAGAGAGGGCTACAGGGAGGTACTATAGGAAGTTCAACACTTGAATGTGGTAAATGCCAAAGTTGAAAGGAGTATGGCCCTTATGAGGAGTATAATGCTATGATAACAAAAACCAGAAACAATTCAAGTTGTGCAAGATCACAGATGAAACTTTCTAGTAATGTAACAAGAAACAATAATAATGTAACTAACCACAACAGAATCATATAATTATGTAATTATACTACTGTATATGCAATAAAATAATAATATACTTTAAAGAAATCCTTTATAATACATAAATATGTTTTTATAGTACATATGGTACCAGTCTAGAACTTCAACCTCATTGAGCAACCTCGAAATATGGTACTAAATGGATAAGTTTGACATCTAGTGTTTTATTAAAATTAGGGTGTGAGAACTTTAGATTTTTTAACCTCTAAATAAGGACCTACTTAATGTATACAAAGAATACTTACATTTAAGTTACAAATAAGGACCACCCTAATGTGTACAAAGAATACACACATTTAAGTTATAAATAAGGACCACCCTAATGTATACAAAGAATACTCACATTTAAGTTATAAATAAGGACTACCCTAATGTATACAAAGAATATTCACATTTAAGTTACAAATAAGGACCACCCTAATGTATACAAAGAATACTTACATTAAAGTTATAAATAAGGACCACCCTAATGTATACAAAGAATACTCACATTTAAATTACAAATAAGGACCACCCTAATGTATACAAAGAATACCTACATTTAAGTTACAAATAAGGACCACCCTAATGTATACAAAGAATACTCACATCTAAGTTACAAATAAGGACCACTCTAATGTATACAAAGAATACACACATTTAAGTTACAAATAAGGACCACCCTAATGTATACAAAGAATACTTACATTTAAGTTACAAATAAGGACCACCCTAATGTATACAAAGAATACTTACATTTAAGTTACAAATAAGGACCACCCTAATGTATACAAAGAATACTTACAGAATACTTTAAATCATTAGATTATGTATCCAGAAAATACAATTATATTGCTGTAGATGAAAGCCTATAAAATAACAAGTTAGGTTATATATATATATATATATATATATATATAATAAA